AATAACACTGTACTTATTAATATGCAACTATTCTTCTTACAAACATCTTTTTTCCATGTACATTTATGGAGAGTCTTAAACACAGTATAGTGTAGTAAACATATTTCAAAGATATAACATTGTTCTCATTCATTTCTACAACTAGCATTTTTATTTATAAAAATTTTGGTTGGGTAATATTTATTTATTTATTTGATCTTTTCAAAGAAACAATTTTTGTTTTATTGGCTTTGTCTACTGTTTTTCTATTCTTTTTTTAAAATTTATTTTTTAGCATTTTTAAACATCATTTATAATAGTGCCTTCACTGAGTGTGGTAAGGGCAGTGCATGTGTGAACATGTACATTCACTGAAATGACAAAACCCAGATACAATGAAATCCTATCACTTTTAGATACATATTTTATACATGTGGCTCTGCACAGTGTGTTCCCTACACCACCATGTGGATGTCATATTATTTATTAAAAACACAGTGCTTATTCCTATATTCAGTTAGTATTCTTGCAAACATTTTTAGTTCTGTGCTTTGCAGATGTAGTCGGTGCAGCATATGTGGGTGACCACATTACTTCACTGGAATGACATTACACAGGTGCAAGAAAACAAAGCTATACATGCTTCTATACATAGTGTATTTCATCATCATCGTGTGGTGAACACATTTCTCTACTGAAGTAAGACTATCCCGTATATACAACTACAAGTTTTAGGAACTTGTTATGGCATATGGTATATGTGCCATTATGGATATTTTAAATGTGGCTAAGTATAGTGAAAATATTCATTCACTGAAAATAACCCTGTACTTACTGACATATACAATTAGCATTCTTAGAAACATCTGTGTATGGGTCTTTACAGATTTCATTAAACAGAGCACATGTGATGAGCATATTACTACACTGAAATCATGCTACCCAGATGCATCCAAACTCCATCACTACAGAAACATATTTTATACATGGGACATACATAGTATATTCCATGTATCACACACTGTTGAATGTACCTTTAATGAAATAATACTGTATGTATTCACATATACAAGAAGCATTCTTATAATCATCTTCTACAGCTAGACATTTATAGACTGTTTTGAATAGGCCATATTGTGAACAAATTCTTTCACAGAAATAAATCAATCTAATTCAACAAATGCTATAACTCAGAAAAAAATTTTAAATTTCTGTGATGTAACCCAGTGTATTTCATACAGCACAATGTTTTGAACATATTATTTCAATTCAATAACACTGTTTTCATTCATTTACACAACTAGCATACTTAGAAACATCTTTCAATCTGTGCTTTACCAAGGGTATTAAATGCAGCACAGTGTGGTGAACACATTCATTCACTGAAATAACGTTTTATCTATTCGTATACACAACTACTGTCCTTAGAAACATCCCCTTTTCCTGTGCTTTACAGAGTAAATTCAGTACCATGTATTGAACACATTCATTTGAAGTAATATCATTATTGATCACATATAAAGCTACCTTCTTAGAACAACTTTACAACAGTGTCTATAAAGAGTGAATTATATGAAACACATGTGATGAACACATTCTTTCACTGAAATGTCACTACCCACATGCACTGAGATTCTTACACTCTCAGAAGCATTTTTTATATATGTGCCTTTATATAGTGTGTGTTCCACACACCTTGCGTTGGATATTACTTTCTTTTCATGAAATAGCACAGTGCTTACTTATTCTAATATAGCTAGCATTCTTTAAAACATCTTAATACATGTGCCTTTTCAGAGTTTATTCAACACAGCACATTGTGGTGAACACATACTCTTACAAGAATGCAACCAAACTACATACTACTCTTAGAAACATTTACACGGACACCTTTAAGGAGTTTTAATGCACTACAGGAGTGGTAAACACTTTCATTCACCGAAATAATTATTCTTATTCACATAGAGAAGGAGCATTCTTAGAGACATCTTTTATAGATGTGTCTTACAAGTTACTAAACAAACCATTTTGTAAAAACACATTTATATAATAAAAATATACTTAGAAACATATTTTCTACATGTGTCTTTTTGAGGTGTTTTACCAGCATCGCAATGTATTGAACATACTTTCTAAAATAACTATGCCAGTTAAAAATAAAAATAAATAAAACAACTATGCTGATTAACATATACAGCCAGAATTCGTAGAAATGTGTTTTTTACGTGTGCCTTTAAAGAGTTTCATAAATGCAGCATAGTTTTGTGAACACATTCATTTATTTAATGAACATGTGCATATTTATACCTACTGCTTTTATTTTTTAATTTTTTTATCCTCATCCGAGGACATTTTTCTGTTTTTTATTCAGATAGAGTGGGAGGGAGAGAGAGGGAGAGAGAGAAAGAGAGAGAGAGAGAGAGAGAGAGAGAGAGAGAGAGAGACATCGACGCGAAAGGGACACATCGAGCGGCTGCCACCCGCACGACCAACCAGGGCCGGGGACAAACTGCAACCGAGGTACGTGCCCTTAGCGGGAACCGAACCCAGGTCTCTCTGGGCTGCAGGCCGACGCTCTAACCGCTGAGCCAAACCGGCCAGGGCACAGCCACTGCTTTTAGAAACAACTTATATACCTGAGCCTCTGTGGAGCAGACTAAGAGAATACAGGTGTTGAACAAACCCCTTCACTGGAATAACATACAGTAGTCCTTCATTATCGAAAATTTTGGTTTCCTGGGTTTCAGTTACCCATAGTCAACTGTGGTCTGAAAATATTAAAGGCAAAAATCTAGAAATAAACTAATTTATATGTTTGAAGTTATGACCAGGATGAAGCAAATTCTGTCACCTGAAGAAATATCATTTAGTCATATGACATTACATAGCATGTTCTATGCAGCACAGTGTAATGTATACATTCTTTCCATGAAATAACACCATGCTTATTCACATATACAGCTAGTGCTCTTAACAACATCTTTTTAAAAAGACTATTTTTCTCAGAAAAGTTTTGGTTCATAGCATAATGGAGAGGAAGAGAGTGCCCATACATCCTCTGCCCCCACACATGCACAGGCTGCTCCAATATCAACATCCCTCAGCAGAAGGGACATTTGTTACAACTGATGAGCTTACACCGATACATCGTACCCGAAGTCCATAGGCTGCATTAGGATTTACTCCTGGCATTGTACGTTCTATGGGTTAGGACGAATGTGCAATGACATGTATCTATTATTACAACATCATACAGAGTATTTTCACTACCCTAAAAACCCTCTGTGCTTTGTCTATTTACCCTTATCCATACCCTCAACCTCTGGAAACCACTGATGTTTTTACTGTTCCATATTCTGCCTTTTCCAGAATATCATATAGTTAAAACTATACAGTAGGCGGCCTTTACAGATTGTCTTCCTTAACTTAGAAACATGAGTTTAAGGTTCCTTCGTGTCTTTTCATGGCTTCATAGCTCATTCCTTTTTAGCAATGAGTACTACTCCACCGTCTAGGTATGCCACATATTACGTATCCATTCACCTACTTAAGAACATCTCGGTTGCTTTCAAGTTTTAGAAATTATTTTTAAAAAAGCTTCTAGAAACACCTGTGAGCAAGTTTTTGTGTGGACATAAATCTTCAACTACTTTGGGTATATACCAAGGAGTATGGTTGCTGGATAGTAAGGTAGAAGTATATTTAATTTTGTAAGAAACTGGCAAACTGTCTTCTAAAGTGGCATTTTGCATTTTTACAACAATGAATGAAAGTCTCTGTTGGTGCACATTCTTACCATAATACAGTATAGTCAGTCTTCCAGAATGTGGCCATTCTAATAGGTGTGTGAGGGTGCCTTGTTGTTTTAATTTGCGACACCCCTCATGCCATATGATGTATAGTATCACTTAATGCTTTTTTGACATCTGTATATCTTATTTGGTAAGGTTTCTGTTAGGTCTTTGGCCCATTTTATAATTGGGTTGTATATTTCCTTACTGTTGAACTAAACATTCTTTGTATATTTTGGATGGCAATCCCTTATCCCATGTGTCTCTTGCAGATATTGTTTCTTCATCTGTGGCTTGTTTCTCATTCTCTTACATTGTCTTTTGCAGAGCAAATGTTTTGTTTTGTTTTGTTTTGTGCTTGTTCGTTTGTTTGTTTTGTTTTAGTATTAATAAAACTAAGCTTGTATTAATGTTTTCATGACTTTGTTGTTCTACTTAAAAAGTCAATGTCATGCCCATAGTTATTTTGGATTTTTCCTGTGGTATGTTACAGTAGTTTTATAGTTTTTCATTTTTTTTTCCTTTTACAGTTATATCTGTGATCTATTTGGGGTTAATCTTTGGGGAAACTGTAAGGTCAGTAGGTCATTGTCTAGATTCCTTTCTTTTTGCATGTAGAAATTCAGTTCCAGCACCATTTGTTGAAATATTTTTCCAATATTCACAAAATAACTTCTTTATTGCTTTTAATGTCCATAGAATTTTTATTGAGATTGCTTTGACTATAGAACTCTAGTTGGGAAGAATGAATATTTTTACAATATTGAGCCTTCCTATGCATGAACATGGAATTATTCCTCCATTTATTTAGTTATTCTTTACTTTTAGTCATCAGATTATTTTTTTATTCCTCATATAGATCTTAAATATATTTTATTAGCTTTACACTAAGCATTTCATTTTGGGGGCACTAATACAAATAATGTTATAAGAATTTTTTTTTTTATTCATTCAAATATTTATTGAGCAGCTAGGTAGGTACAAAGGTGTTTAAAACATGGTAAAGAGTTGAGATAAATGAACATGAAGAAAGAAAAGTTCACTGAATCACAGCAGTAAAAAAAGTGCTTTAGGAGATTAAGAGTGAGTGGTCAGTCAGGAGAGGGGGTTGAGATTAAAACAGAAGACTTCAGTCTGGATTGTTGACGGTGCTCAGTATGGACTATACTTGTCCCTCCTTTTCCTCTTTCCCCATCTCTGGGCTTAATTCACCAGTAGTGCCAGGGGTGTTCAATGCGCCTTTTCTATACTTGCTTGCATTTTTGCTTTACTGTCTTCTACAGAACTAGGTCCCTTTGGTGTTTTAGGAGATTTTTCCTGTTTTTTGAAGGATTCTTGACCTTTTGATCTTGGTGTTGATGGTTTTGAGTCTTTTCCATTCTGGTTTGATTATTGTGCATTTTTGTCTGGAGTATCTCGTATAGATTTCTTTACTGGAGCTTTTGCTTCCGCTTCCTCATCGTCAAAATCATCATCATCATCATCATCACCCTCATCTTCATCAGCAGCAAGTTTTACTTTTTTCTGTGAACCTTGCTACGACTTCCGGGGGCAGAACGCTTTCCCGACCTACTTAGGAGTTTCACATCCTCCTCGTCTTCATCTTCTGACTCCGCATCTTCCTCCACAGCCACTAAGTGCTGTCCACTAACATGCACAGGCCCTGAACCACACTTCAGCCGTAAGACCGCAGGGGGTGTTATTTCAAAGCCACCAAGGGAAACCGTGGGCTGTACAGACATTTTCAGAGTTGCCAGTGTTACTTTAATTGGCCTGCCTTCATAATTCATGGCCTCTGCTTCAACAATGTGCAGTTCGTCCTTTGCACCAGCCCCTAAACGGACCGTTCGTAAAGATAATTGGTGCTCATTTTCATCATTATCCACCTTAAAGTGATAATCTTTGTCGGCCTTCAGTTCACAACCGAAAAGATGGTTCTGGGGCCTCAGAGGGCTCATGTCCGTGTCCACCGGATCTTCCACGGGGTGGCAGCACGCACCCAGGCGAGAGAAGGCGGACGGAGATAAACGACTTGTGTCCCGCAGCACAGACGCGCAGCGCGAAATCGCACCAGGGACTGTAAGATTTTTTTTTAATTTCACTTGTTCATTGCTGATATATAGGAATGTGATTAACTTATGTGTATCAACTTTGTATCCTGTAACCTCACCATAAGTATTTACTGGTTCCAGGAATTTCGTTGTTGATTCTTTTGCATATTTTACATAGACATGTTATCTGTGAACAAAGACAGTTTTATTTCTTCATCCTCAATCTCTCTGTCTTTTTTTTTTTCCTTTCCTCATTAAATTAGCTAGAAATTCCAGTATGATGTGTAAAGGAGTGTTGAGAAGGAACAGATATCCTTGCCTTGTTCCTGATCTTAGCAGAAAAGCTCCAAGTTTCTTACCTTTAGGTGTGATTGTTAGCTGTAGGTTTTTTTGTAGATATTATTTATCAGATTTCAGAAGTCCACAACTTTTCCTAGTTTACTGAGTTTTTTCTAACTGTGAATGGATATTGATTCATGTCAAATATTTTTCTTCATGTATCAGTGTAATTATGCAGTTTTCCTTCTTAAAGCCTATTGTTGTGATTAATTATATTAATTGGGTTTTGAATGTTGAACTAGCCTTGCATATATGGACTAAGTCCCATTTGGTCATAGTATCTAATTATTTTTATATATTGTTGGGTTTGATTTGCAAATATTTTATTGAATTATTACTTCTATGTTCACGAGGTATATTAGTTTGCAGTTTTCTTTTTTTATAATGCCTTTCTGGTTTGAGCATTAAGGTAATGCTGAGACCATTTAGGAAGAATTCTCTTTATTTCGATCATCTGAAAGAGATTTTAGAGAATTGGTATAATTTGTCTTAAATGTCTGGTAGAATTCACCAGAGGACCCCTGAGACTGGTGCTTTCTGTTTGGGGGAAGCTGTTTGTTTTCTCTTGTTTCTTTAATACATATAGGTTTATTCAGATAGTCAGTTTCTTCTTATGTGAGTTTTGGAAGCCTGTGTCTTTCAAGGAATTGGTTAATGTCATCTAGGTTATCAAATTTGTGGGCATGATATTCATTTTCTTTCTTTATTGCTTTTAATGTCCATAGGACCTCTACAGCTATTCCTTCTTTCATTTCTGATATTAGTAATTTGTGTCCACTCTCTTTCTCCTTAGTTATCCAACAAAAGCTTATTAATTTTAACATATTTTTAGCCCTGGCCAGTTTGGCTCAGTGGACCAATGAGTCATGGGTTCGATTCCAGTCAAGGGCACAGTACCTCAGTTGCAGTTGGTCCACAGCCCTGGTTGGGGTCGTGCGGGAGGCAACCAGTTGATGCGTCCCTCTCATGTCGATGTTTCTGTCTCTCTCCCTCTCTCTTCCTCATTCTCCCTCCCACTCTATCTGAACAAAATTGAAAAAATATCCTTGGGTGAAGATTTAAAAAAAAGATATTTTCAAAGAATTAGCTTTTGGTTTTATTGATTTGCTCTATGGATTTTCTGTTTTCCACTTCATTGATTTATGCTCAAATTATTATTTTTCTTTTGCTTACTTTGGATTTAATTTTCTCTTCTGTTACTACTTCCTAAGGTGGAAACTTAGATTATTGATTTTAGATGTTCTTTTCATTCCTAATAATATGCATTCAGTTCATAAATTGCCCTCTAAGCACAGCTTGCACTGACTGCTTCCCGCACTTTTTGATGAAGTTGTACTTTCATTTTTTGTTTGTTTTTTTTATCCTTACCTGAGGACAGTTTTGCATTTATCTTCAAATAGAGTGTGAGGGAGAGAAGGAGAAAGAGAGAGAGAAAGAAACATGGATGTGAGACAAACACATCAAGTGGCTGCCACCCACACGACCCCAACCGGGGCCGGGGACAAACTGCAACTGAGGTACATGCCCTTAGCGGGAACTGAACCCAGGACTCTCTGATCCCCAGGCAGATGTTCTAACTGCTGAGAACAACTCTCCAGGGCTGTATTTTCATTTTAATCGAATCTAAAATGTACTAAAATTTCTAATGAGATTTCTTTTTGACCCTTGTGTTATTTAAATATTTTTTAAATTGATTTTTAGAGAAAAAGATAGACACATCAATGAGAGAGAACATCGGCTGGTCGCCTCCTGCACGCCCCCCACTGGGGATTTGGCCCACATCCTGGGCATGTGCCCTGACCAGGAATCGGACTGGCGACATCTTGGTGCATGGGTGGACGCTCAACCACTGAGCCACACGGGCTGGGCAACCCTTGTTTTATCTAGTTTAATTCCATCATGGTCTGAGAACTGATAAGGCAGCTAGAATTCTTTGAGTCATCTTTTATACATGTGCATTTTCTTGTTTTTGGTTTTTTAAGTCTTCCAACAGTTTATTAGAAAGAATGTAACTTAGAATCCAAGGTGTAGGTGAAAGACATTCATTTCCTATCAGGACCAAACTGGAATTACAACTAAAATATAGAAAAATCAACCTAAATAGCCTGAAAACTAGCTGAACACAAGTCTTATAACCAAGGATTTGCAGGAGCCACATCGAGACTGGTAGGAATGGCGGAAATGTGGATAGTGTTGGCCCCACTCCTACAGGTGGTAGCTGAGATCCTGAAGGGATATCTCAGCTGCAAATGTTCCCTCTGGGGAGTGTGGGGTCTCAACCCTATGCTGGACTTCCCAGCCCAAAGCACCAGAGCTGAGAAGAGGAGCCCACATAACATCTGGCTGTAAAAATTAGTCGAAATTTTGTCCACCAGGAAGAGAGGGGAGTTTGCTGTAGACACAGGCTCCTTCTTAAAGGGCCAATGCACAAAATCTCATTTGCAGCCACTCACCTGGGCTCCAGCAGAGGGAGGGTGGAGCAGACTAGAGCTGTGTGAGGAGAGACTGGGATTGGTAGCTCTGGAGCTGAAGGGATAGTTGCCATGACCCCTGTGCTGAGTCCCTTCCCCCACCCTGTGGAATCAGCCTAGAACAATGCAATAGCTCCACCCTCTGGACTCCTTGTTGCCCCACCCTGTGTACTTTGTGCCCTACTGAAGAGTCAGCTAGCTGCTTGGGTAGGGATGTACAAGTCTGGGCAGACTTAAGGGATGTCAGTGACTGAGTTATGTGGCTTTGGGGTGGGGGCCATTCCACCCACTTTCCTATGAACTTGACCACATGTCCCCTTTACAGGAGATTCGACAGCCCCACCCTCTGGGTTCCTAGCTGCCCCAACCTCCCAACTCCTGATGGCCCTGCCCCACCCACCAAGTGTGAGCTCCCCAGGAGACCTGGGCAGAATCTGGACAGACTGAGTTGTGTGAATCTGGAGTGGGGGCCACTTCCTTCAACTTCCCCCAAGCCTGACTAGTATTCCCCTCTTACGGAGATCCACTATCCCTACTCTCCTGGCTTTTGGCAGCCCCACCAAGCAAAATCTGGGACAGATAGCATCGTGTGGCTCTAATATGAGGCCTAATGTTCTCTTGCATGCCTTACCCATGTAGAGCCCTCCCTTCTTGAGAGTTAAGGCCTGAAGCTCTGCTGGCCTCACGTAGATGACCCCCAAGACCCCAGTCCACCATAAACCTCTGTGGGCATCCAGTGGGTGGCAGCTAGACTTTATATAACCTGGGAATTTTGTGGAGTGACCTCACACCCAGCACTGCCATGGAGATTAAACCTGTATCCATCTGGGAAACATCACTCATCCCTACCTGGTGACTCACTGAGAACCTACCTCATGCAACTCAAGTACTGCCAGAGGCTCTTTCAGTGACTGAGCCTAAAAGGCAGCTGGCAGGCAGAGGCAGGCACAGGCAGATCTTGGGGTAAGATGGGACTTTTGCTGACATGCCCCCAGGTCCAGGACTGGTAATAGCCAGCTTTGGTGTACATTTTGGTTCTTTCCAAGCATACCGGGCCCAGCAGAGGCAGCCACAAACTGTGGATTGCTTTGTAGCTCCAAACCAGCTGACGAGGGCCAGTCACGGGCAGCATCTGACATTGGCCTATACCAGAGTCGCTCCCAAGAGGCCCCAGAACAAACACACCTAGTGGCCACCTTCAGACAACATCAGAGCAGGAACCAGTCAGCTTCACAGGCAGCATATGCAAAGGGAGGTCTTGACAGGCACCAGACCCTGATCAGGCAAATTCTGCTTTGTGTGATTAGTACCTGCATAGCAGCTTATACACTGTGGTCGAGGTTGATCCTCACAGTCAGCAAGCCTGAAAGTTAAACCCACACATAAATGGTCCAATAGCAATCAAGATTCAAGTACAGCAGGAGGGCTTACATAACACACACAAGAAACCCAGCTCAAATGATCAAGGAGACTGTGCCACTGGGTACCACAGGACACCTACTACATAAGGCCACCCACCAAGACTGAGAGACATAGCAGACCTACCTGATACATAGAAGCAAATAAAAACAGGCAGCCAAAATGGGAAGATAAAGAAACATGCCTCAAATGAAAAAAAAAAAAAAAAACAGAAGAAAACTTCAGAACGATAGCTAAATAAAATGGAGGCAAGCTTATAAGGTTGCTCAAGAAATGTGATGAGAACTTCAGACATAACAACATTCACCTCATAGCACTGCCATAAGGAGAAGAGAGAATACAAGGAATCAGGAACCTATTTGAAGAAATAATGACTGAAAATTTTCCTAACCTGGTAAAGGAAAAAAGACACACAAGTCCAGGAAGTGAAGAGAGTCCCAAACAGGATGAACCCAAAGAGGCCACACCAAGGCACATCATAATAAAAATGGCAAGGCTAAAGACAAAGAGAGAATCTTAAAAGCAGCAAGAGAAAGACAGTTAGTTACCTTTGAGGGAGCTCCCATAACCTGTCAGCTGATTTCTCAACAGAAACATTCAGGCCAGAAGGGAATGGCATGAAATATTCAAAGAGATGAAAAGCAAGGATGTACAACCAAGACCACTTTACCCAGAAAGGCTATCATTTAAAATCTAAGGAGAAATAAAGAGCTTCCAGACCAAAAAATAAAGCTAAAAGAGTCATTACCAGCAAACCAGTATTACAGGAAATGTTAAAGGCTCTTGAAGAAGGAGGAGGAGGAGGAGAAAAAGGAGACTGAAAAACATAGTTATATGGGAAAATAGCTCTCTCTCTCTCTCTCTCTCTCTATATATATATATATATATGTCATTTATATCAATAATCATTTTATTTATTTATTTATATTATTTTTTTGGAAAGTTCTTTATTTTATTTTTTATTAATTAATTCATTTTTGTTACAGATGTTTCTCCTTTTCCCCCATTGATTCCCCCCTCCCTCCCCACCCTGTCCCCAGCTTTGTTGTCCATGTCCATTGTTCATGCACACATGCATATAAGTTCTGTGGTTTATCTCTCCCCCACCTCAATAATCATTTTAAATGTAAGTGGCTTATAATCTCCAATTAAAAACATAGGATAACTGGATGGAAAAGAAAACAAGACCCATATATGTGTTGCCTACAAGATACCCACCACAGAATGGAAGACACACAGACACTAAAAGTAAAGGAGTGGAAAAAGATATTTCATGCAAATGGAAATGAAAAAAGCTGGAGCAGCAATACTTATATCAGACAAAATACACTTTAAAACAAAGGCTATCATAGGAGACAATGAAGGACACTACATAATGATAAAGAAAGCAATCCAACAAGAGGATACAACCCAACAAAAGGAGCACCTAAATCTTGATGGACATAAAGAGAGATATTGACAATAATATAGTCCTTATAGGGGACTTTAACACCCCATTAATATCAATGGATAGATCTTCCAGACAGTAAGTCAACAAGGAAACAGCAGCCTTAAATGATACACTAGATTAGATGGATTTAATCGACATTTTCAGAGCATATCACCCCAAAGCAGCCAAATAGACACACACACACACACACACACACACACACACACACACACACAGAACATTTTATAGAATAAGCCACATATTAAAACACAAAAGAAGTCTCAATAAAATTAAGAAGATTGAATTCATACCTAGGATCTTCTCTAATCATAATGTTGTGAAACTAGAAATCAACTAAAAAAAAAAAGCAAAAAAACACACAAAGACATGGAGGCTAAATAGCGTGTTACTAAACAATGAGTTGGTGAACACTGAGATCAAGGAAGAAAACAAAAGATACATTGAAACAAATGAAATTGAGAACACAACAACCCCAAATCTATGGAACACAGTGAAAGCAGTCCTAAGAGGGAAATTCATAGCATTAGAGGCCTATCTCAAGAAACAAAAACAATCTCAAATAAACTAACTTTTCACTTCAAGGAACTTGACAAAGAACAACAAACAAAGTGTAAAGTGAAGAGAAGGAAGGAAATAATAAAGATCAGAGCAGAAATAAAGAAAATAGAGTCTAAAAAAAATACAAAAGATCAATGAAACTAGGAGTTAGTTCTTTGAAAAGATAAACAAGATTGCTCTGGCCAGCTTAGCTCAGTGGTTAGAGAGTCGCCCTGCACACCAAAGCGTTTTAGGTTTGATTCCTGGTCAAGGGCCCCTACCTGGGTTGCAGATTTGATCACTGGTCCTAGGTCAGGGCGTGTGTGGGATGCAACCAATCAATGTGTCTCTCTCACATCAATGTTTCTCTCTTTCTCTCTCCTTCTCTCTTCCTCCCTTCCACTCTCTCTAAAATCAATGAAAAAAAAAATATCCTCGAGTGAGGATTAATAACAACCTCCCCTCAAAAGTTGTGGTACATTTACACAATGGAATACCATTCAGCCATAAAAAAAAGAAAGAAATCTTACCTCTTGTGACAGCATGGATGGACTTGAAGAGTATTATGCTAAGTGAAATAAGCCAGTCAGAGAAAGACAAATACCATATAATTTCACTATATGTGGAATTTAATGAACAAAATAGAAACAGACTCATAAGATACAAAAAACAGACCTACAGCTCTCAAAGGGGAGATGGATTGGGTGAAAACGATGACAGGACTAAGAGAAAAAAAATTCATAGACATGGACAACAGTATGTTGATTACCCGAGGGAAAGGGGTGGGGGAAGGTAGAAGAGGGTAAAGGGGGGATAAATGGTGATGAAAGAAGCCTTGACTTTGGGTGGTAAACACACAATATAATATACAAATGATGTATTATAGAATTGTACACTTGAAACCTACATAATTTTATTAACCAATGTCACTCCAATAAATTCAGTAAATTTTTTAAAAGAATAATTAGCCAAAAAAACCAAAGCAAGAATGTAGACATTTTTAAAAATTCCCACATAGCCCTGGCCAGTTCGGCTCAGTGGTTGGAGCATCAGCCTGTGGACTAGAGAGTCATGGGTTCAATTCCCACTAGGAGCACATACCAAAAAAAAAAAAAAAATCCTCACTGTTATGAACATAAGTTGAGATTTTTTTTTCAAGCCCTGGTACCAACTGAATAACATAAATAAATAAAATATTTAATAGTGCTCAACATTTTTTTTTTCTACTCATTTGATTTACCATACTGACAGTGTAAGTACAAATTTGGTCTAAATGTAGAAACTCTCAAGCAACAATGTACAGCCTTTGTTCATTCTCCATGTTGAGAGATGGAAAGTTTAAGGGTCAAACAATACAAAACACCCAAGTTAGGGCATTCACTAGCTTTGGCTAAGATCCATCTTGTACACTGAGAAGTGATCAGTTATGTACAATAATGTGAAGTAATTTTTTATAAATAAAACTTTAATGGAACAACCCTGAGAAATATACCAGAGGAACAACAATTTATCAGTTTAAGGTATCAACCAATTTGTTTCAGTCAGTTTGAGTTCATGTTCTAAAATCTAAAACTTATTTATTTATTTATTTTGTAAGCAAAGAGCTTTCTATCATGTCAGTATCTATGTATGAAATAAAGGAGATTTAGGTGAAATGTTTTTATTTATCACAACTGCTGATCAATTGCCTAGGACCTTAACAACATCATGGAATGTTTGTGCATAAATCACTGCCTTAGCTGACTTAAAATTACCCCATCAGTGGTGTATATCAACCCTTAGCGAAGACTTGAAGAAAACAAACAGGTTGAAAAATGGATTAAAGGAGCAAGTGCAGTATCTGCCTTTAGAGCTGTCAACTCAGGAATTCTCTCAATTATCAAATCTTACAGAGAAGTTACTTTTTATTCTCAAAATCTGGTGATGACAACATTCCTTACTAAAGATCTGGCATTTTTTCATCACTGTCTTGTGAGTCATCATCTGCTCCATCTACCTCCAGTAAATCTACATCCTCATCACCACCCATGTGCATCATCGCATAGAAACAATAAAAAACAAAGATGTTTTTATCTGAATCATTTTCCCAGTCTTTCCAATTAAGGTCCATTCTAAGCCAGTTAAGCTTTGCCCCTTTGTTAACCTTGGCCATGACTGGCCAGATTCTCCTTTCCGAAACATCATAAAATTTATCTGTCTGTTTATGCTTGGAATCATTTGGATCAGTTTCAATTAAATGATTAAAATTAGAACTTAAAAAAAATCACTTCCTCCAAGATTTGGATTTTTCAAAATTTATATTAACATCTTTACTATTTTCAACACAAAATATAATGAAGACATAGTCTTTTTTTATTGTACCACTTTGCTGCACTGTTAATGGGGTGGGGGATGGGTGAATGGGCGGGCAGTAGACTCCTCCCTAGTGGTGACTCTGGCATTTTCTCCCGGTGGGGCCTCTTCTTGCTTCCCTCAGGCACAGCAGAGTGGAGGGCTAGACCTGGGCCTCCAGTGCACCTTGCAGAAATAGGGGTTCCTCCAGTTGGGGTGAAGAGGAAAGTGTAGGAAAAAGGTTGCATGTTTGAGAGTGAGGGCTGGTGAGACTATACATGTGCCTTTTCAAAGTGTATTCAATGCAGCAGACATGGTAAAAAAAATTTTTCAAGAAAAAGTCACTACATGGACACAGTTAAATTTTATCACTTATAGAAACACTTTTATACATGTGACTTGGTAGTGTATTCCATGCACCAGAATGTGCTGAACACGTTCTCTCAGTAAAGAAACTCTGTAATGCTAATATACACAAATGTCATTCTTAGAAACATCTTTTATACATGTGCCTTTACAAAATATTTTAAATGTTAAATACAAAATATTTTAAATGCATACTAGTATAGTGAATACATTCTTTCAATAAAATAACATTGCTCTTATTCACATATACAACTAACATTGTGAAGATGTTTATTAGAAACATCTTTTTGTATGTGTTCCTCTACAGAGTGTATTAAATGCAGCGTATGTGGTGAACATATATTTTCATCAAAACAATGCACCCATGCCTAGCTGGTGTCACTCAGTGGACTGAGCATCATCCCACGGACTGAGAAGTCCCAGTTCAATTCCCAGTAAGGGCACATGCCCTGGTTGCAGTTCTGATCCCCAGTAGGGGGCATGCAGGAGGCAGCCCATCAATGTTTCTCTCTCACATAAATGTTTCCATCTCTCTTTCCCTTGCTTTCTCTCTAAAAAATAAAAAACACATATAAAAAACACAACCTGGATGTAAGGAAATTATATCAATCCTAAAGACATTTATTATTAATGTCACATTACAGATTGGAAGCCATTCACCAAATGTGGTGAATGGTTTCTTTCAATGAAATAACATGACATTTATTCACATATACAACTAGCATTGTGAAGAACATCTTTTTACACATGTGTCTTCACAAAGCTTATATGCATGTTGTGAAAATCATCTTTCACTGAAATAACACTATATTTGTTCATATATATTGAATCATTAGAAATCTTCTATATGTGAGCATTTACAAAGTGTAAGAAATGTGGCAGATGTGGTGAACACATTGTTTAACTGGAATAACACAACCTGGACATAAAAAAAATTTATCACTTTTAGAAACATTTGAACATGTGTCTCTACATGTGTTTTAAATATGGATAGTGTGGTGAGCACATGTTATTTTACAGACATAACTCTCTACACACCCCTATACAATTAGCATAATATTTTCCCATAGTATTCTCATTTTTTAGTTGTGTGAAAATTTAACTTTATTATTTTTCTATTTATAAAAGTATTTGCTAATCATAAAAATACAAATAATATAGAATTATATAAAGAAATATATAAAGTATATACTAAATATATAATAAAGAAATGTACAAAGTGCAAAGCCATATTATTCTGCAATTGAATCCCTAGCAATTAATCACTGGTAGTACATTGTTTTATTTTATTTATTTTATTTTTTATTTTTCTTTATCTCTATTGGTGTATTACAGTTGTTTCCCCTTTGCCCCCCATTGATTCCCTCCTCCCTGCTCCTACCCCCATCCTGCTCTCACCACACTGCTGTCTGTGTCCATTGGTTCTGCATATATGCATATAAGTTCTTTGGTTTATCTCTTCCCACCCCCATTACATTCCCTCTGAAGTTTGTTAGACTGTTCCCTACTTCCATGTCTCTGGATCTATTGTGATTGTTAGCTTATATTGTTCATTATATTCCATAAATAAGTAAGATCATATGATACTTGTCTTTCCCTGACTGGCTTATTTCATTCAGCACAGTACTCTCCAGGTCCCTCCATGCTGTCTCAAAGGGTAAGAGGGCCTTCTTTTCTCATAGCTGCATAGTACTCCATTGTGTAAATGTACCACTTTTTTATCGACTCATCCACTCATGGGCACTTGGGCTATTTCCAGATCTTAGCTTTTGTACATAGCACTGCTATGAACATAGGGGTGCATATATTCTTCCTGATTGGTGTTCCAGCCTTCTTAGAATATATTCTGAGAAGTGGGATCACTAGGTCAAATGGCAGTTCCATTTTTAATTTTTGAAGAAACACCATATTGTTTTCCATTGTGGCTGCACCAGTCTGCATTCTCACCAGCAGTGTGCTAGAGTATCCTTTCTTCCACATCCTCACCAGCACTTGTTTGATGATTTGTTGATGGCAGCCATTCTGACAGGTATGAGGTGATACTTCATAGTCATTTCAGTTTGCATCTCTCTGATGATCAGTGATGTTGAGGATTTTTCTTATATCTCTTGGCCATTTGTATGTCCTGTTTGGAGAAGTGTTTATTCAGGTTCTCTGCCCATTTTTAAATTGGATTGTTTGCCTTACTTTTGTTGAGCTGTATGAGCACTTCATATATATTTGGATATTAACCCCTTATCCAGTGTATCATTGGCAAATATTCTCCCAGAGAGTGAGTTCCCCTTACCTTTTGAGGATGGTTTCTTTTGCCATGCAGGAGCTTTTTAGTTTGATGTAGTCCAATTTATTAATTTTTTTCCTTTGTTTCTTTTGCCGTAGGTGATATATCAGTGAAAATTCCGCTATGTGTGATATCTGAGATTTTGCTGCCTATATTTTCTTCTAATTTTTATAGATTCATGAGTCACATTTAAGTTTTTTATCCACTTTGAGTTTATTCTCATGTATGGTGTAAATTGATAGTCTAGCTTCATTTTTTTCCATGTATCTGTCCAATTTTCCCAACAACATTTATTGAAGAGACTATCTTTACTTTATTGTATGCTCTTGCCTCCTTTGTCAAATATTAATTGAGCATATTATCTTGGGTCAATTTCCGGGTACTCTGTTCTGTTCCATTGATCTATATGCCTGCTCTTGTGCCAGTACCAGGCTGTTTTGATTATGATAGCTTTGTAGTATAACTTGATAGCCAGTATTGTGATTCCTCCTACTTTGTTCTTTTTTTTTTTTTAAGATTGCTGTGGCTATTCAGGGTCTTTTTTTATTTTATCTAAGCTTCTGGAGTATTTGTTCTAGATCTGTGAAATATTCCATTGATACTTTAATAGAGATTGCACTGAATCTATAGATTGCTTTGGGTAGTATAGACATTTTAATGATGTCGATTCTTCCAATCCATGAACATAGTATATGCTTCTACTTTTTTATATCTTCCTTTATTTTATTTTTTCCAATGTCCTGTAGGTTTTTGAGACCAGGTCTTTTACTTCCTTGGTTAAGTTTATTCCCAGGTGTCTTAATTTTTTTATTGCAATGATAACTGGGATTGTTTTTTTAGTTTCCCTTTCTGAGTGTTCATTGTTGGTATATAAAAATGCCATTGATTTATGGATGTTAATTTTGTATCCTGCTACTTTGCCATATTCATTTATGAAATCTAGTAGTTAATGGCTCAACACAAGGGCCCAGGCAACGGCCTTCACAACTTGGACCCCAGAGCCACAAAACCCAACAACCACGAGCCAGGTTCAAGGCTCAAAGTACCCAGAGACTTGTCTCTGCCTGCAGGCTAATTGGTAGTCTCTGACAGTAAATGAGACTCAGGTTGCAGCCTCTGTGCTAGGTGAAAAGTCCTCCCAGCTGGCAGAATAAAATTCCAACAGGTGGGGCAGTTGCTTTTCCCGTCCCACACCCTGGGCTACAGCTGCTTTGATGGGATGAGTTTGCCCAAAAAATGGTTTCTGTAGCATGGGGAAATGACTCAGCATAGGGTTCCTGATGGTCTCCTTTTCAGCTCTTTACCCAGCACCACGAACCCCTGACTCTCCTCACACAGCTCCAGTCCAGTCAGTTCTCCCTCTGCCAGAGCCCAGGGTGAGTGGCTGTAGCTGTAATTTAGTGCACTGGCCCTTCAGGTGGGTGCCCATGTTCCTAGCACCTCCCCCTGCTGAACAGGACCTCACTCTGGTATTTTTCACAACCAGGTGTTACCTTTCCCTGTTCTACCACTCTGTGCTGGGGAGCCCAGCTTGGGGTTTAAACCTCAGACTTCTCAGAAGGGACTACTCACAGTTGAGATAGCCCTCAGCTGCTGCCTGTGGGAGCCCAGCCAGCCCGCTCATGCCTCTGTACCTCCTTCCAGACTTGATTTGGGCTCCTCTTTATGTCCCTGGTTATAAGAATTCTCTCCAGCTGGTCTTAAGTTGATTTTTCCACATGACTTTTCTTTATTTTAGTTGTTCTTCCAGTTTGGTCCTGCGAGACTGTCAGTGTAACTTC